TAGTAAGTCGGCAAATTTGTCTGATGGTTATCTACCTCACAGGATGGCCCTAAAAACAAACCTTTATTGACTTTAGATACTGATATTTAGCACTTGTTTCTTACACTGCATGTCCAAAGGTCAGCAGGGTAGTTCTGTTCATCAAAGTCACAAGGATCTAGAATGAGAGGTTCCATCTCAACACATGCGTCCATAATCACCCATGTAAGAAAAGGGAACATGGCAAATTAAACAACGGCTCTTAAAAGTTCCACTCAGACACGACACCATGCCACTTTGAGTTTGCTCAGGCAAAGCAAGTCATATAACTAAGTTCAGAATCCATTTTAAACAAAACAGTAACATAGTTTTTGAATTTATAATTGCATATTTTGGATGAATTATCTTTGCTCCCTACTTCATTCACTATACAAGAGAAGTATACCAACATAAAAGCAGAGACTTACGCTGCACAAATAAAGAGTCAAAACCAAGACAAAGGTATGCAGTTGCAAAATGGCCATTTATTGCCTACAGGAGAAGGAGAGGGAGGGAAGGGAAGAGAAAGTACACAGGTGCAAGGAAGCAAGCACATATTAGCCCTATACATCATGTGTGAGCAGCGACCGAGCTCCAAAATGGAAAAAAGTATTTTGTCATCTGACATAGTTAAGTAAGGTTCTTAAGCACCTCCCTTCTGAGCTGCCATGAGATTTAAAAGGCAGGACTGCTTTGTTTAGTCAATGTTCACATTAATGAAAAAATACTATCTCCCAACTGTGTCCCTTTACACGCACACGCTGTACAGTGTCTACTGTGAAAATATCTTAGCTGAGCAGTTTGGTCAAGATTCAGACCTTATCAACTGTTTAACTATAATAAATAGAAAAATAAAGCAGCTGGTGATTTCGTCAGGGAGAACATGGTCAGTAGGAGGAACCACTTTTCTCCAGGGATGGACATAGTGTTAAATAGTTAGAACACCACAGAACCAATCTATTAAACATTAAACACTACCAAGCTATAATTATATGGCACTTTATTAAATTTTCTAACTAAAAAAAAAATCTTAGATTTTAAACTGATTATTGGAACACAGTAACGCATTGATTTAGTGCTTGGCTTTTTCTTAGAATGAAAACAAAATAAATATGCAATCTGTAACAGAATTTGTTTTGGAATAGTATTAATAGAAAACTACCAAGTATTCAGGGAAAGCAAATATTAAAACACTTTGTTTGGTTTTAAAATCATGTGCTTCACGTTCTGACCATTAGAAACAGGTACAAAAACACTTTATGGACCACAAAATGACCCAAATGTATGCAAAACAATGAGTTATTTACCTTAATGCCAAGTAATGAAAATAAACAAACCCTTCCCTACTCAAATGGTAAATTGAGTGGAAGAGTAGATTGGACAATTAGTTGGCACTTGTTATGTGGTTGAAAGAAATCACAATAGGAGATATAAATTAATCCATGGTGAATTTGAGCAACATGAGCTGGCTCTTTAGAGAAAAGGTACACATTCTTTCTCTTTAAAAAAGTCCACACTACCCCATTCCCAGAGATGACAAAACCAAAGTTGAAACATTCTCCGTAAAATGTTCCAAGTATTCCTATTTAACTCTACACCTTAGCTTCTCCTAGATGTGAGAACTGTTTGCATCTGGACAACTGCACGAATGCCCGCAGTGCACTTCCCAGTGCTGCTGGTGTTGGTGTTTAAGAAATTGGCCCCTCACAATGCTGAGCAACTCCAGATCCAGTGTGTGGTGACACAGCCATCCAAATCCCTCCCCCACAAAAGTTGGCAGAGCACCGCTCAGGAATTTCACAGGTAAGGGAATATATTTTTAGCAAGTTAAGCACAGAGAAAGGACAGTACAACTTCTGAATAAATACAAACCCAGATACCGCATCATTTACTGCATCAGGATTGAAACAAGTAGCAGGATACTAAGTCTGTTCAGTAAGAAGCAAAGCCACTGTCTGACACATCAACGCCGAGCCAATTCTGAGTTCAGAAAACTACAAGCAAATTAAACAAATGTAGTACATATAACAATCGATAGTTTGAAAGAAAATACATCAGTAATTTGAAATTAACACAAAACTAAACTGAGCAAGAAAGGACCACTTCTGAGAAGACTACCATGATTCTCACGCTTTAGAGTTAAAAGTGACAGGCATACAAACAGGGAAATTATCTAAATTCAGGGAGATTGTTATAACAAAAGTAACTAGTAACAGGTGCCCAAAGGATGCCCTTTGAAGGATTCTGAAAGCTACTGATGCCAAAAAGAGTCATATCACTTGGCATTTGTATATCCTTTCCATAATATGATTTATTCCTCATGGCACTTCTAATTTCAGTTCATTGCCACTCAGTTTATATGATGTGCCATTCAAATTAACATTTACTAGGCAGAAATGTCCTTATTTCATATGCTTTGAAAGTGAAAGCTATTTTACTTAGAAATACTCTGCTTTAACATCATGTTTGATGAATGGAAACCTCAACACATGTTTTCCTTTGGTTCTAAGAATAACCCAAGTCTAACCAAACTTATACCAAAAGATATTACTAAATAGATTAATAAAGTTTGGTATTTTCCTTGCATCTCCCTGTTTTTTCCTATATGACTTGTGGTTTAATAGAGAAATTTACATAAAGAAGGCATTTGGTAAAAATAGGAACTATGTATGATATCCCTTACCACCTTCCAGAAAAGAACTGTTTTTATAATTTCCTTTCTGTGAATCTTATTCGGAACATCCACAGTATAGATGTAAGGGCTTGCTTTTTTTTTTTCCTTAACCCTTATACTTTTAGGTGACATTCATAAAATAAAGATATGCATATCATTCTATAAAATAAAAGATGCTCTTGACATCCTGTTGAACAGATTACAACTTTGGTAAATAAGCTGGGTTAAAAATGTACTACCATACTTCTCTTTAAATTTAAAACTGGCGATTATGCTATTATTACAAAATTAAAATCACCCAAAGCAACCATAAAAATTCTCATCTGTCTACAAATTCAAAAGTTTAGGTGAAGTTCCTGGTTTAGAAAAATAATTCTAACTTCCCTAGCTAATTTGTCTACCTACAATTTACAGAGCTCTACAGACATGATACAATTCAAAAGGAAAGGGGTAAAATGAATATTCTCCACATTTCTTGAGAGGTGATTTTCTTTTTAAAGGGGAGGGCAGTTGGGAAAAAGAATATCTTGCAAATATGAGAATTCATATTCTGTCGAAATACATGTATAAGTGCTATTCTGAAAATGTGCCATAAAATCCTTACTTGCCGTAAAACCATTTTGTGCCATAAAATCCTTACTTGCCGTAAAACCATTTTGGTAGCCAAAACTGATCATGTTTTGATTTCTGTAACTAAAGCTACTGATCAGTCAGCATATTTTACAAAGTCATTACAATATCTTGAACTAAAATAAAAAATAAATAAATGTTAGGACACAGTCAATTTTTATCTCTAGGAAACTCAGCCCTGTATTAGAATGGCAAACCGTATTCCCTGGTTCCTTCTGAGATCATATTCAACCTGTTTTTCCTTGTGCTTTCTCTACGTTTGTTATTTGATATTGAAGTATAGATAACATTAGTGATTTTTAGAAACCCTTGGAAATGCAAATACAAACTTAAATTTTTATCCACTCAATGATATTTACTTAGGGGACAGAATTTTAAAATGGAACACATTTGTCTATGTGCAAGTTTTAATATGCCACACCTTCAATTCTAATGTAATTTACCATAGAATCAAGTGATATGAGCCTTGGATATTTCAACTTTCTCCCCTGCTTTTCTGTGATTTAATATGTAACTTTAAGACACCAAAAAAGGGGGGCAGATAAGAAATGGAGCTTTATGTTTTTGCAAACTACAACACTAAAACATAGTGGCTTCTTTAACACATTCACACAGGATGCTTATTTAGTAAAATTAAATATCTGCATATGAATATTGGAAAAGTAATTTGAAAAGAAAGAGCTTAGAACAAGGCAAATGGGAAGGGAGGAAGAAGTGGGGGGAAGCTGGTCTCAGAACCCATTGTGCCATACCTGACTTTAACATGTGATATTCAAATGAATGTTCACACGTCTTACATCAAAGAAATGAAACAAAAATATTCAGCTATGTTATACAAAAATTTTTTTTACATAAAACATCATAAATCTTGAACAGATTTACTGTATCTGAATTCTAAAAAGTTGCCTATAGAATGGTGCTGGGATTCTGTTCTCTGCTTGCTTTTAGGCAGTGCTGTTGCTTAAAAGTTGACACCAGGCACAATATTTTAAAACAAAGTCAACAAGCAAGGAGCAGTAAATGGATTTGAGCCTTTCCCAGATGTCAGTCCTGAGGATGCTGCAATATTCCCCATCAAAATGTGTAAAGCTATGAGGTGGATTCTGATGCCTGAGAGAGTGGGTGACTTGACATGAACTTGTACGACAGTAATAATGGTAAGCAGTGCTGTTTTCTCTTCCTCAAACAACACTGTTCTAATAAATTTAAAGAATACTTCAGTTCTTAGACAAATATCAGAATATTTAAGTTAAAAAAACAGATGTTACATTCTAAAAATGCCCAAATTTTCGTTTATCTTCAGATAAAATATGCAGCAGCCCAATGGCATAAAGCTTATTAAATTGTTTTGAGAATTAGAAAGTGTATGAGCATATAAGTTTTACCTTCTTTGAATATATACCGTATGTCATTCACCTCTTCCTTTTGGCTTCTCGCTGCCAAGCTTCCAAATGGCATGCGTTTTAATAAGACAATGCTGAGGAAAGCAGCATTTCTGATCATCTGAATTGGCAGCTCAAAACAGATACCACTCCTTTTACAAAGGGAACAAAAGGTGAAGGGCATGTGAAATTTGGGCAGTGGGCTAAAAGGGAAACCGTGCACATGAAATTCGGGTCACCATGCCCCGAGTGTGTGTGCCACCCAAAAGATAACATAATTGGCTACTTCAACAGAACTACTACCAACAGTTACTAAAACCACATTAAAAATACACAGGATCATGAATGGTTTGAAAGAGTGCATTTGGCAGCAGAGAGAACCCAATTACACACCTTCCTGCAACAGAGTGCCTCGATCATACACAAAATAAACTTAAGCTGTTTACAACGTTTCCCAATTTTTTTTATTTTTTCCCTCTACATTTAACTATTAAAAAAGTTTTTATTAATAAATGGGCTCCTCTGTGGTTCATATACAATCATAAGTGAACTTTAAATTCCATTTTATACAAACATCTCAAAAAATATTGGGAGTGAAGTATGGTAGGAAATATTGCTCACATTGCTAATTGACATGCATATATGAGAGGAGGAGAATGTTCTGCTAATGCATATACCTCCAGAGCAGAAAACCCACCCAAACAAAAGACCTAAAATAAAACATACAGTAGCTGATTACAAAAAAAGGTAATGTCCACAAAATTAAGTTTTTCATGCTATTCTACTTTCCAGTACTATGCTTCAGGTAATCAATTTGCATGGCTAGATGTTGGATGTTTGAGGTATATAAGAAGGGATACCTGCATGTTGAGGAAAATCTGTCATCTTAAGGGTTGTTTCTTTTTGTTTATTCTGGTACTTTAACATACTTAAAAGAATATTTTATTTACATCAAACTTCACTGAACTATAATGACATTCCAATTATAACAGATGACAAACAATGCCTCTATCACTAGGCACTTTTAAAAGAGAGTTTAGGCTTTACAGAACCCTTCTGCTGATGCAATCCCACGTATGATATTACATCATCCCACCACCCTCGTCCCACTAAAATTACCCTTTGGAGAAATATCTCATATAGCCTGATTAATTTACTATGGAAGAAATTAGTATAAAATGACCAAAGTAAATGCATCATTTAAGACTAATAAAACAGCCTACGATGTCAGGTTTGAAAGAGGAGACAAATTGTATATATTTAAAACTAATTAAATAATTTAAATTTGACCTGTACTTTATATATTAGTGAGACACAAATATAGGCTATTTTCTTTTAAAATTTCATTCACATAATGGAAAATTTCTTGTTTATTAAAAATATCACATTTTGAGACTAGAAACAGTAAAGTGCATGAAAAGTTTAAAATATAAATTTCAGAAAACTCTTATAGCAGCAAAAAAGCAGAATAAAGAAAAACTTAAAAACAGACACAACCTTTTCCTGTGCCATAATTAACATCAAGTAGCCAACCAATTTTTCCCCCAGAAAATGATATTATGTTCACTGCCTCTTGAGTCACAGATTTGCAACTGGGCCCTTTGGGCAAAAAAGGATTCCAACATATTTAAAGGCATCAACAGTTGGGAATAAACCAGTAGCTTCTTAATTCAACCCTGACAGACAACAGAAATAAAGATTAAAAGCATACAATGGCCATTTGGCAGCTAGAGTCAGGAAAAATGATACAAGATTTTTCACTACTGCCCCATACTTGTTCTCTCTCTTCCCCAAATCCTTTCCATTGCCTCCTCAAAAACCCAAAACCAACCAGCCACATAACCTACTTTGGGAAACATGAAATATTTATATGGCTTTTCCCTTCTGAAACTTTGATTGGGGTCTTTTCATTCAGCAGTTTTGTTTTTTTAAAGCATTTGACTGTAACAGCAAAAATGATACAGATCATATAATATCTGTTTTCCCAGAACAACCAGACAGAAAAGAAGGGTGAATAGGAATAATGTAAAATACTAGACACTAATTTTGTGGGCATCCTAAACATACCAAATTCTATTTTCAAGATGTGTGGCAATATAAATTAACTGCTGTTTCCCCATAAATTAACTGAGAGATAGGTTTAGAATATACTTCTAAGGTCACAATTAAAAAGGGGACCAAAAAAGAGTGATTCCTCAGAAAAACAAACCAAAAAACCCAACCAGCATTTGGCCCATAAACGGTCATGTAGTAGTAAACGCTTGATTTTGAAAGCATGTTGTGCAACCATCTTTAATTTCTCAAATTTTCTTATTATGGCTAGAGGCTATATCATAGTTTATATACAGATTAAGCAAATTTAAGTGCTCTGTTATTGTGCAAATGACTTTGGAAGCCAAAAATCAGTTTGTTATAAAGAAACAGAAATTCAAGAAAGTTTTCCCTGCAAGGCATGCCATCATTCAGTTTAAAATCTTACATTTATAGTTTTTAAAAATTGCCTTTCACAAAAATGGTTGGCTCATTGGAAACCACTGGAAAAAAAGCGTATGATTTGGAAAACCAAATAAACTGCTGTTGGGCCTCAAATTGGTAATTTATCAATTATGAATGCAGATTCCTAATACAATACAAAGAAAGTCCAATTTAAAAACGTGTTAAATTAAAATTTTGGAAAGAGAGTTAATACTTTGGTTCCAGCCCTAGTGCCAAATGATACCATATGCACAAAAATGTACAAAGTCTTATAGCAAACACATAATGAAAGGAACCTGAAGAAGCAGCTTAAGGATGGCCATACTTCACTCCTACATACTTTGATTTACAACTGTACAGGTCCATAGCAACAGATTCCCCGTCTTTACGGGGCAGTACTCCACTACCTCCGATTAGGCAAGTGAACACCATTGACAAGAGGCAGGAGTGGAGGGTGGAGTTCAAGTTGTGTTAACAGTGAGAAGTGGTCTGAAGGGATATGAGGGTGTGGACACCCAGTGATGTTGTTCTCAACCAGCCATTGAGGATCTAAAGGCCCCAGGACACCAAGCACGTTCATATGAGTCTTGGAATAGAAAATGTAGTCAATCACACCCTGGAAAGAGATAGGGGATTGGAAAAAAAGAAAAATATATGCTTAGAAAAAAAGAGAAAAAGCAAGGTACATAAAGAACAATCTATAATTTATAAAAGCCAAACAACAGCATAACTTTGTTGTTTTAACAGTGGGTCAAATAAGGCTCATGTCTTTAAAGCGTGTTACATGACACAGAAGGGGCACGATAAGGAAACCAAGCCTTGCATTTTTGCATAAGTGATAAACTGAGAAACTAAGAATACCAAATCATGCCTAGCCATCTTCAGAATGGGCCTGCTTGGTTTAGTAAAATCTAACACAGCATTATAAATATAACAGAAACTGTATAGTAGGATATTTATATAAATGTATTTAATAAAAAGGTAGGATCCAAATTAATTCTTTTATAATACTTGGCATTATTTTCACTTACACATCATGATACCCAAACACACCACAGTAAGGCATGTTTTCAGATGTGCTAATCCTAGTTCAGCTGTCCCAGATTTGCTACATACATACAAAATACACAGTTAACTGTTCTAATTGGTTCTTTAGGTTAAAATACTCAGTTTTACAAATCCTGGTATATATGTATAAGCAAAAATCATCCAGCAGAAACCCATATATATTATATATCAGTTATATCTCTCAGAGCTGGATAATTTCATTTGTCTGATCAGGATGTCTCAAAACCAGCAGGCCTTTTTTGTCCCCAGCTGTGTATGTATGAGAGGAAAAATTCAAATTTCTTCCAATCTTGTTCCTATCCAAAATAAGAAAGTCTGAGCCCAAGTAGGGAAATATATTTCCACACCTGTGAGTACCTGTTTACAAACACTATACATAAGGAATTCCAGCCAGTATTTTAAACTATAGCACAATGAAATGAGTTGCTTTGTAAAAAATAAAAACATTTCATAAAATTTTATGATCAATTTGCTGACTTTCATTTGACCAAGACCAAAACAATTTTTTTTTCTTTCTTTTTGAGACAGAGCCTCAAGCTAAAGCCCTGGGTTGAGTGCCATTGCATCACAGCTCACAGCAACCTCCAACTCCTGGGCTTAAGTGATTCTCTTACATCAGCCTCCCAAGTAGCTAGGACTACAGGCGCCCACCACCATGCCAGGCTATTTTTTGGTTGTAGTTGTCATTGTTTGGCAGTACCAGGCCAGATTTGAACCTGCCAGCTCTGGTGTATGTAACTGGTGCCTTAGCCACTTGAGCTACAGGTGCCACCAAAACAGTGTTTATTTTAAGAGAGAACACCTTATGCAAGCTTACTTTACCACAAATTAAGGAAGTTATCTGCGTCCACAGAACTTCAAGTTAAAATAGTCAGGAAATGATTAAGATCACAAGTAGTATCCCCACCCACCTCACCCCCGCCTTGGTTCATTTTGGTTAATCCCTAGTTTTACAGTAGTATTTTACAAAGAGTTTACGAGGGTCAGAGTGGTTTTACTTTCCCATAAGACTATCTTTTGTTTCGACTATAAACAAAATACACATGAACTCAGTCACTTGTGTTGAAGAAAACCTATATATTGTCTCTTTATTAGAGTGCCATTGTGCTGTCAGTGGCTAGAGTTTTTTGCAATGTAGGCTCCAAAAAAGGTGTTGAACACTCCAGAAAGTGTGAGTTTAATTAGGAACATTGCTATAACTATTTTCTTGGTTTGAAACATCCAGTGTAAGGCCTCTTATCAAAACACTGCAAGATTATGTCTATGAATTTGTACAAATATTTGTACATAATGTATATATGAGGAGGCTCCTCAACTTTGACCATATTTACCAAGATTAGGGACTAATGATTCTTAACCATTTTTGATTTAAGTTCTTTTTTAAAAAGATAATACTGAGGGAAAATAGTCTTAAGTAAATACTGTAAGTCTATAGAAGTATATTTGAAAAAAAAAGTAAAAATAGTGAAAACAGATAATGAGCTAGATTACATTAAGTTTTTTTTTAAAAGAAGGTAAGAAAATTATAAATTTCATAATATAACAAGAGAAAAGTTTACTACTTGACATAATAGGAAATCTGTCCTTCCTCTTTTCATTAAAGACTCAGGCACACCCTTACACTGGGGGCTGGGGACAGGGTAACGTGCAGTAGCAGTAAGTTTAAGCTGTTTATTAAACACATCTAGTCTGCAAATAATATTGTGAAAAGAGGAATTCTCCCAGTTGCTCACCCTTTAAGTCATTCCAAATCAGTTCTAGACTGAATGAATCTGAATTCCAAATACCACTTTCCTACATTTATCTTATTCAATAACCAAGAAAGTAAACAATTGCCAAGCCAAGTAAACACAATTTAATACCTCACTGGTACACTACCTGCATATTGTATTTGGATCTGTATTTAATGTTGAACAAATGATATTTCATATCTGCTATTTCCTGTCCTTTTTTTTTATAGAATTCCTTCTATATTGGAATAGCATTAATTATATAAAATATTTGCATAAAAATGAAAAGTCCATTCTCTATTACTTAAACTAAAAGCTCATTTCTCTCTGGCCAGGTGTGCTCTAGTTCATCTTCTGGCCATCCTTCCTTCTCATCCTATACCACCCTCTCATCTTATCTACCTATCCAGCTGGTCTCTTTATCTTCTCGTATATAACCTTTCAGCCACCAATTTGTAACTCTGTTCTTTCTCATCTCATCCCATATATCTAAACATCAAACACTTTCTGAGACAGGCATTTCTAGTTCTTTAACTGTACTTCTTTGGACAACAAAAGTGGATCAAGAAGATGTTTTATTCAATTATTAACACATGTAAAATCTTTTGAAGAAACATCAATAAAGAATTTTAAGCCAATTCAGATGACTAAGATGATTTTTTGCTTTATGTACAAGAAAAAATAACCCTTAAAAAAGTCTAGGTGAGATAGAAATTTTTTTTATTTAATTTTTTTTCTTTACCTACACAGATACCAAAACAACAACAATAGTTGCAGAATTACTGAACACTTATTTTGGGAAACTTCATTACAGGTTTTATGAGTTATGGTAGGAGATGTAGTATTATACATTATATATATTATATATCACTGTAGTGTCAAAGATAGGATGTCAGCTACAGTGAACTGTGTATCATCAAATCTTAGAGCCAGGTCATGCTGCTTTCTTAGCGCCTCTCCTCAACTCTGTGTTAAGCCATAGAAAATTAGCAAACACTACAAATCAGGGCTTCTTTTTCCAAGACAGCTCATAATTATTATAAATATTTACATAAAAAATTAAATTAACTATCCTTGGATAGAATTACCTCCTCTAAGAGCAAAAGTATTAAATTAGATTCAACCTCTAAGCAATTTTTTTCACTTCATGATTATAAAAGATGCTTAATATATCAACACACAAATTTCCTTTTCCTCCTATTTGTTTCTTGGAAAGGAACTAACACTGAAAAGGGGAAAAGGTATTGGAGATGCGAAAAAGTCCATTTCATAAATTTCCTTTAGTATTAAATTCTTTCTAGACTTCTTAAACTAAACCACATTCTAATATTTGCATTTTTTCCCAGGATAATGTGAGATTTTAGTGTAGATACTTGAAATGCCAGAAAGTCAAACAGAGGTACAATAGAAGAGCTGCAGGTAGACAGAGAGATCAGAAACTTGGCAATGGGGCTGGGCACAGTGGCTCACGCCTGCAATCCCACCACTCTGGGAGGCTGAGGTGGGTGGATGGCCTGAGTTCCAGAACAGCCTGAACAAGAGCAAGACACCACCTCTAAAAATAGCCGGGCTTTATGGTGGGTGCCTGGAGTCCCAGCTACTTGGGAGGCTGAGACAAGAGAATTGCCTAAGCCCAGGAGTCTGAAGTTGCTGTGAGCTATAATGCCACAGAACTCAACTGGGGGCAAAGTGAGAATCTGCTGCTGCTGCTGCTGCTGCAAAAAAAAAGAAACTTGGCAATGATAAAGAGGTTAAATATAGAAAGACACCACAAGTAAGCTTTCTAAGGAACAGCCGCTGATCCTGTACAATGGAAGCAAACCTCCCCCCACCCCCGCCCCGTAGTTTTATTTTGCAAAAAATGTTTTTCTTTTCTTTTTTTTTTAAGCTAGAGTGTTTCACTGCCTGGGGATATATTAGTATGAATACAAGGATATAAAACAGACCTTAACTACAACCTTCTCTACCCCCATCCCTAAAAAAAACCTGGAAAATTTAAAGATAAATAAGCCATCAGTCAAAAGAACTAAGACAATTTTGAGGAAAGACTATGTAAATTCATTCAAGGTGAATTTTGCTATTTTAGGTCCTTATTATTTGGGTTCTTGTTGAAAGTTAGGGATCGTAATGGATAGCTGGATCAATTACATAGATATATATACAAGTGGTTTCAACAGTGCCTGGCACATAGTAAACATTTTAAAAGTTTTTGTTGTTATTAACAATACCTGAAATTTTAACAAATGAGGGTTCAAAAAGAACTCTTTCTTTTTTTTTTTTTTTCAGAGCCTCAAGATGTCCCCCTGGGTAGAGTGCTGTGGCATTACAACTCACAGCAACCTCCAACTCCTGGGCTCAAGCTAGTCTCCTGCCTCTGCCTCCCAAGTAGCTGGGACCACAGGTGCCCACCACAACACCTGGCTATTTTTTTGGTTGCAGCCCTCATTGTTGTTCTGCGGGCCTGGGCCAGATTTGAACCTGCCACCTTAGGTGTTATGTGGCTGGTGCCTTAGCCACTTGAGCCACAGGCGCCGAGCCATCAAAAAGAATTCTTAAGACCTCAATAATAACCACAAAACCCAAGAAATCTTCTTACATTTAGGTGCATACTTAGCCTAGACATTTTGAGAATCTAAAAATTCCTGAAGATTATATAATCAATCATAAATAATGAATGTACACCTTTCTTGTCACATGCTTATTATAACTGGAATAACTTCTACACCAGCCTAGAGGCTGCCACTCACTTTGAAATCAAAGGTGTAATTGGTATAAGGCATCAAGTTATTTTCATAGGCGCTCTTAAGTTGGAAGCCATGTGTGATTCTCCCTTCGGAGCTTCCATTCTTTCCATTGCAGCTGAAGTTCATAAGACACTCATTGTACCTTAGTTCTTTGAAGTCTTTATGGTTGTCAGCTACTCCTCCATTGCTTAAATATTCCACAACACCTAGCAGAATAAAGAGAAAATGAATACTACCATTAGACCTTATGTAAGGTTTTACAGCCAAGACCTGTTAACACCAAGTTGATCCACCAGGTTCGGAGTGGTTTTATATAATACTAAATAATACTGCTTTTTCTGGTTAATGTTAAAAAAAAATCAAGTATTAGCAATCTCATGATTCAACCAAATTAAAGAGCCTTTGGCCCTTTATTAAGATCACTCAAGTTTCTTTGGTCTACCGGATTCAGAGTGGTTTTATATAATACCGCTTTTTCTGGTTATTGTTAAAAATATCAAGTATTAGCAATTTCATGATTCAACCAAATTAAAGGGCATTTGGCTATTTGAAACAAAGTATCAAGATCACTCAGGTTTCTTTGGTGGTTCTTCAGGCTAAAGATGATTTCCAGGACTCATGGTAGCATTTACCAGGAAGGCCTTGACCCTAAATGTTTTTGAAAAATTATTTTAAACCATTATCTCCTAAGTACTTCCCTAGTCTATACAGTTAATCAATAACTTTGGGAATGTATAAAGAGAGCACATATTAAAAAAACCAAAACAAGGGCTGGGCGTGGTGGCTCATGCCTATAATCCTAGCACTCTGGGAGGCCAAGGCAGATGGATTGCTTGAGCTCAGGAGTTAGAGACCAGCCTGAGCAAGAGCGAGACCCTGTCTCTAAACATAGCAGGGTGTTGTGGTGGGCGCTTATAGTCCCACCTATGTGGGAGGCTGAGGCAAGAGAAATCACTTCAGCCTAAGAGTTTGAGGTTGCTGTGAGCTGTCAAGCCATGGCACTCTACTGAGGGTGACAAAATCTGTCTCATTAAAAAAAAAAAAATTCAACAATTAGTCATGCAATAAATGTTTAAAAAAATAAAAACAGATTTTGCGTCTTCAACATCTCAATGTCTAGTGACAGTAGATAAACAATATCATTATTGTTTGCTCAGCTAGAATGAGTTTTCTCAGTCTGACACCATAAGGAATATTATATGGCAGAAGTAAACTACTTGGCCAAAAATATTAGATGTGTCTAAAGAGCTGGGAATAATAGCATCATTCAAAGATAGACACTACTTCCACAAACATAAAAAAAGAAATCAAAACTCTTACAATGATGATTAGTGAGCACTGTTAAGAGTCATCTTTTTCTATTTTTAATAAGGGATGAGAGCAAGGTATAATGAATAAGTGTTAAGTACAGTACCAGTACTGTGCATAGCTCAAAAGGAGGTATTGTTTATTTAGTATTTACTACATGCCAGGAACTGTTCTAAGGGTTTTAGAAACCTAAATCCCACAAACAACTCTCTGAAGTGAATAACATCATTATCTTCTTATTTAAAATGAGGAACTGAGTGAGGCTGCACAGGTCATTAAGTGGCTGAACCAGGATCCAACCCTGATAGCCTGATGATAGGCAACTCACTGCTGTTCTGCACAATGACAGTTCATTGGCTTAAACAAATCAAATAAAATAGGAGGAAAACTTGCACTTGAGAGCAAGTCAGCTCAAAAAGGAAAGATAGGGTTAAGATGCCAAGTGGCCTAGGGTTTAAAAAGACAAACATTTGTAAACAACCATGTCAGCATTTATTTGCTAAAGAGAAAAAGATGTTCCTCTAGTTTAGTGACTTTTTTTAATATTCCAAGTCTAGATATTTGGATTATATTTATTGTTGAGCGATCATTTTAAATAATCTTAAATAGTCCAATAGTGATAACACATAATATTCATAATATGCTTTGGTATTAGCAAAAGAGTATACATTTCAAATATCTGAAATTTTTCAAAAGTTCAGACATAAAACTACTTCAGTGGAGGGTTAGAGTAATATAAAATCCTAGTAAGAATTCAGGTATTTCTTCTGTAAATAATAACAGTATTCACGTATCATTTAACAAGTTCACTTACAAATTGCCAACATTATTATACTCTATATAATAGCTACTGTGATGAGTATTTTCTGGTTGTCCTGTCATATCACCCTTCTCCACTACCCTCTGTGCCTCAGAAAGCTGATCTTTATTGCATCAACTCCAAAACCCTGCCTCTCACCCCAAGCTGCATTTGGTCAATGGGTAGCACTGGCAGGAGTTCAAAGGACAGGAGTGCAGTGAGGTGGGCTACACAGTCCTCTGGTTCTCTTGATGGTTTGCCAGGGATTGACTGCATCATTCAATTCAAAGCCATCCTTCCTATTATGTGGTCCTTTTCTACAACTATATTTTTTCTAAGTTCACATGACAGCTCCCACAACTTTCCCTTATAGATGTAGGGATAGTCAAGGGACCCTAACTCTCCTTGTGGCAGAGTACTTCATCATTTATTGTTTTGTTTCCAGTCCATACCTTGGAAATAGCTTCTTTAGTAAACTTTCCTCAATTACCCTGTGTTCCATCTCTGGGAAATTCTCTACTGAAAAGTTAGGAGCTTGCTGGCTTTTGAACTAGGGGTAAGAGCAAAATTGAAAGCAATGAGGAAATGATGTTATAAATACCTGAATCTGGCAATGAGTTAAGATCTGCACATAGCACCAGCGGGATGGAATTAGGATCTGCAGTTGGGCTGCCAGGCCTACTAGAGGCTTTCTCCAGAATGTTTTTAACCTCTGAGACAAACATCATGGTCTGGATAAGTTTCACATCAGAATACTCTGGGTCCCAATGCATGTGGGCATTTGCCACTATGAGCAGCTGTTTGTCTGCAGCATGAATAGGCTTCATACCTACATTTAAACATTATATTAAAAAACAACAACAACAACAAAGAAAGTTATGCCTATGTTTCAAGAAAAGTGGTATCTTAAGGTTTTTTAAAAAAAGATCCATAGCCACTACTTTATTCTTTTCCATGAATTTAGACCCTTCCCCCTCCCTTTTATCCCATGAAGTAGTTCTTAGAAGTTAAGAGGGCTGAGATTCTGGTAATCTTGATATGTAAATTACTCTTCTAGACCAAGTTGGCCAACTGTAGCCCTTGGGTTAAATCTGACCCATCCCATGTTCTTATATAGTTTTAAATTTTTAAACAGTTCTATGAAAAAAAAAAAAAAAGACCGTGATAGAGACTGTAATGTGACCCACAGAGCCTAAAATACAGTATTTACACAGTATCTGGCCCTTTACAGAAAAAGTTGGCTGACTCCTATTTTACACACTCAAGTTATATCATGATATAATCAACATTTGATTATAATACCTTGTATTCACTGAGTTCTTAGTTTAAACAAGTACTTATAAAAATTAGACAGATATAGGAGTATAAGTGGTTTTTTTTTAATATGGATGGACTGTATAGTAGTGGAGTTGAGGGTTTTAGCATACCCATTACTTGAATAGTGTACACTGTACCCAACAGGTATTTCTCATCCCTCTTCCCCATCCCTCTCTCCTTCTGAGATTCCAATGTCCATCTTCAAAGTGCTTTAAACAAGTGCTTTTAATTATGTGTCATTTAAACATCACAATAACCTACTGAGGCAGGTTTTCAGTTATTTGAATTACCTAAAATTAAGTTAAATTCTATTGCCCAGTACATTCACCTTGCATTTAAGCATAACAGTGATGGCTTAATAGTCAATGGCAGTAACGTTATATTAACCTATACAAAATAAAATAAGGAAGTCAATTTGCTGCCCAAACAAATCTATACCCTATACTCAAAGTTATTTCTAAAATAAGAATATAGTCTGCTCTCAAATGCTGGACACCTACGTATGAATGAGACACTCTTACTTTTTAACCTTGTATACTTTTGGAGTGTTGGATATCAGTGAACATACAAACTTAAATATTTCTATTTAAATTTCTATACAAATGTTGTTTTAATTTTTCTATTGATATAACCTTGGGAGAAAAAGAGCTAATTTTCCAAGCCTGCTATTCTAATAAAGTTAAGTTTCTGTCTAGTCTCACCAAACTACAGTTATCTTCAATGTCATAAAACAAATAACTAAAGGATATATAATATGTGACAGAAGCAGTCACTCTTAAAGCAATTTAATCATAAGATAAATACTTACAGTCAAAATATGCTAATCTGTCTTTTTTTCCTAGAAGTTTTATAGTGTCACTTTTGGCTAAAGATTAAATGTTCTCTGTATTAAATGTTAAAAATTTGTCCCTCCAAAGGAGTCATGAGCATTTCTCCTATTATTTAATTCCTCCTCTAGGACATACAAGAGATACATTTCTCAGAATGTGAAAGTGTCTATTACGTAATTTAGATTTACTCTTCTGGAAATTAAAAGGGGAGTAAAATTTAAGAACAAAAATTCAGTCCAGGCACAGTGGCTCACGCCTATAATCCTGGCACTCTAGGAGGCCAGGGGGGTGGACTGCCTGAGCTCACAGGTTTGAGACCAGCCAGAGCCAGAGCAAGACCTTTTCTCTAAAAATAGCCAGGCATTGTGGCTATAGTCCCAGCTACTTGGTAGTCTCAGGCAAAGAGAATCGCTTGAGTCTAAGAGTTTGAAGTTGCTGTGAGCTGTGATGCCACAGCACTTTACCAAGGGTAATAAAGTGAGACTCTGTCTCAAAAAAAAAAATTAATCTTCACAATACCAAACACAAAAAAATTTTTGAGAAGAATGGGATTGGAAATCACATAATGATAAAAATGGAAAAACTAAAAAAAGAAGAAAATTCAAAATCTCATATCAAAGACTGTCTTTGAAAATAGATAAACGTAAGAATGATGGGAAAGGAAGTCTGACATATATTCATGGTCTGAAGAGTTCAATCAATACTCAAGGCAAAAAGAAATAAATCCTTTCTTCTACAAAAAGTACAGGGAAGAAAAAATCCCTTATGTGGTCTCATCCCCTTCTTGCCGTTTGCTTAAAATATACTAGTAAGCAATGAAACGTATTAAAGCAGGCCAGAGAAAGGGTAAAAAAAGGTCTGGCAGATAACACAAAGTACATAATGAGTTTCTGACTCTGAAGAAAGCTATAAATAATCTAAAATGCTGGGAGAAAAGTACCATAAAAGATCCAGCTCTTGCTCATCCCTGACAATGACTGAGAGGTAACAAAGAAACCAGAGAAAACACTCCAAGTACTTAACCTTGAAGACAAAAGATTCACACTCAAGAGGCTAAAAATATGTCTCAAAAGAAGACCAAGGCATCATAATTTCTAAATTCAGCTGCCTGACCAAAATATTCCCTATTTAAAAGACTTTTTGGAATTAATGACATATCAAAAAACCATGCAGATTACCTGGAAAGTAAAAAAGACAATGACAGAGACCACAGAATAGCAACAAACAAACAAATCCCAAGAAGTATACATGATGCTTTATACAGTTAGTGCTATTTTCCTGCCCATCTCCCTTAACTTTTTGCAAAAGACAAGAAAATAACTTTGCAATAAATAGCAGCAAGATTCTCTTTTGTTTTGAGATGGGAAAACCTGGGATGATGTTTATTTTAAGCAGAATATTTTAAATTACACTCACCTGCTCCAAATAGTTCTTTGTGGACCTCTAATACCACAGCAACACCAATATTATCTTTTGTCATCACTCTGTTCAGCATTGCTTCGGATCCATCTGAATTAGCCATTGCCACTTGGTTAAATTCCACTGTATGCTTCTGCACCAATGTAAATCTAAAAGGAACAATACCATTATTGTGATGACTTTAGGTACCTTAGGTTATTGTGCCAAAAGATAGTAAATGAAGTGGACACGAGATACAGACATTATTCATTGTTTCCCTTGTCATTTTCTAGCTGCAAGTTACAATGTAATAGAGTTTTTGCAACTAAGAACATAAGTCTGATTACTGTAAGAATTTCCTTAGAGACCTCCCTAAGATGGCATATATATTCCTTTGCCCTTTTGCACCTTTGCTCGTTCCAGTGAGGGCCCAGAGAAATAACCATCTTGTGACCATGTAGTAAGAAGCAGGAGGGCAAAAGCCAGTGTTCTAAAAATGAGAAAGGGGAATTGAACCAGTTCTGGTCTGCCTATTTCTAGATGATTTCTTGTGTGACAAAATCATCCCTCCCTCATTTGTTTAAACTACTACTGGAATTTTTTGGTATTTAAAGGTACAAAGAATCTTAACTGAGTGAGAAAGTTAATGAGAAAAAAGAGATTAAAATCCATTTACCCTGTTTGCAGTTTTATTCCCACCAAACCAAGAGATTTGTCAAGAAAATGCAGGCACACACACTTAGCTAAAGAGTAACAGCTTTTACAACTTGTCTTTTATTAGAAAGCTGCATTTGTGTGTGTTTAGAGAAATAGATTCTGCAAGATGAAGAAATGGCTCCCCCTGTACATGTAGCTTCTGTACTAACAGTATTTTATTTCCTTAGTGCCAAACCATTAAGTATCATACATGTGTAGGATTTAATAGAATTAATCTAGCATTGACATTTAAGGGCAGTGTGGCTTGATCAAGCCATTGAATGTTTTTTAACCTAATTTTATAAATTCTGTGAAACAATTATAAATGATCAAAAATCTACTAAATATAATACTTTCACTGGTGTGAAATGAAGACATCTTTGTTCTCACAACATTCCCTGGTCCCCACCTCCTTCCTACCTTTGAAAACAGAAGCATGTACACACATCCCTTCAAAGACACTGACTTAGTATGCTGCAGGATGCTGCGCTAGACGAATCCACACTCCCTCCCCTGCTCCAATTCTGCCTCACACAACTACTTCTAACCCAGAATGCTTAAAAGGAGTATAGTTTCCACTCACTGTAGAGGTTGCTCTTTAAGCTGAAACATGAAAGGTGAGACGTTATCAAGGTGAAGAATGGGATTAACAGCATTCCAGGTAGAAGGAAAAAGTGAAAGGTCCTGAGTCAGCAAAAGCTTTTTAAGTTTATGGGTTAGAAAAAAAATGTAAGAGAAGCAAATGATGTTGGAGAGGAAAAAGAATGACTAAATGTTTTAAGTCAGCACACGATATTATTTGATGTATTTTTTAGATCACGTTAGCTGCTTTGGAGAATAAATTATCGGTGTCAAAAGGGGAATAGGGAAGCCAATTAAAAAGTTTCTGAGGTTATCTGAATAAGATGTGACAGTAGCATGTGAAAGGTAAGAGAAAGAAAGATAAGTGAATAGATTCAAAATACGTTCTATTGATAAGACTGACCATTTGGACTTCTCTAAATACTTTTAAGCAGTGAAACATCTTCAAACAATTTCTGGTGGGATTTTCATATATAAAACAGAACAAAGCCATATTAGAATAAATTAATCCCTGAAAGTAATCAACCTGTTTTAATGAATATAAAAACTTGAAATTAGAGGGTACAGATGATAATTATGATCTTACATTAGTCTCAGCATCCCAGTAACTTCTCTATTGTGCTTTGGTTACAAAGTATGAGTAAAAATCCTGATTCACACAGATACACAGATATAAGTGAAAAATAACTGGGTCTGCACTCTGAAAAAGTAAGCAGGCAGGCAAAAACTTGGTCCAGAGGTCTGCACCAAAACAGCTAAGTACTTGAGGAATATGTTAGTGATTTCCAAAATGTTAAAATTTTGCATTGGAATGAACATGTATTTTTAAGTTACAGTTCAATTATTTGCATTTATATTTGTTTATCTTATAAATATTCATTGAACTCCTAAGGCTAATTTGTAGGAAGCTAGAATTTTGTAGGAACGTCTGAAAATCACAGGGAATAGCAGTTATTTTTAGTTTTAGAATTTTACTTCTACTAAAATCAGGCCATTCTTTTTTGAGGGAAAAGGACAGGACTCTAAAAGAAGTATTTTCCTTAACTAAAATTTGCTTCCCTAGATTTGTCCAATTTTTTCTTCTAAGCTTGGATCTAATATTTTCTTTAAAAGAATATATCAGATAATTCCACATGACGCAACTTTAAATATCTCACAACAGATGTCAATTTTCTCCATTCAGATATTAAGCACTTTGAAACTTCATTCAATTTTTGGAATTTTTACTGATATATAAAAATAGTTGTATTTATGTGGTACATGGGATCATTCGGTTTTTCCAACAGATTAATCTCTGGTAGCTTTTGGACATTTATAGATATTATAGGCATGCAGTCTACCTTCTCTCAAATAATTAAAATTCTCAATAGGTCAGAATAATAAAAATAATAAAAGCTACAGCATTGAGGATCTACACAGTATCAAGATATGTGGTAGGTACTTCATATATGCTAGTACTGAAATGTACACATGGAGGCTCTGTGTCTGTGGCTCAAATGGCTAAGGCGCCAGCCACATACACTTGAGCTGGCAGGTTCGAATCCAGCCTAGGCATGGCAAACAACATTGACGGCTGCAACCAAAAAATAGCCAGATGTTGTGGTGGGTGCCTGTAGTCTTAGCTACTTGGGAGGTGGAGGCAGGAGAATCACTTGAGCCCAGGAGTTGGAGGTTGCTGTGAGCTGTGATGCCCGGCACTCTACCCAGGGCAATGGCTTGAGGCTCTGTCTCAAAAAAAAAAAAAAATGTACACATGGAGATATGCTGCCTATATTCCTCATCCATCCTCCAGGGATTGCTTTATTTGAAAACAGCTGCCTATTCAAGGTCACACACTTCTGAGAGCACCCATATCCAATTACGGATCAAAAGCAAAAGATGAAGGTCCAAGGATTTAGACCCCTGTGATTTAATTCTCACAGGCCTCCCCTTCCTTTCCATAGGCGTTGATTCCTACTTTCAGGAACCTGAACATCAAACTATTTCAGAGTCTCCTTTCTAGAGAACCTAAATTATATGGGAGGATCTACTTTTGCCACTACAAAGATGAGGAAAACTAAGGCTGGACAGGTCTTTCATCTTGAAAAATGGGATGGTTCACCCATCTCCAAAATCCCAGAACTTTTCCTATAATCCAATATTCATAAAAGTTTACTACTACCTATGCCAGTTCCCTAATAACATTTTTGTAAAATCCTTAATACCATGAGATATAACTGTCTTTATGTGGAAATCTAACTAATAAGGCAGTTTAGTGACTCTCTGGGCTTATCAAGCTCACCTTCTTGATTTGCCAATCTCCTCTTCCCCTGGTCTTATTATTTCTGCTTTAAAGATAATTCTTAATAGGAATCATAAAAGACAGAAACTGGGCTCGGCGCCTGTGGCTCAAGCAGCTAAGGCGCCAGCCACATACACCTAAGGTGGCAGGTTCGAATCCACAGCCAAAACCTGCAAACAAATGAAATGTCCATCAACTGATTAATGGA